ATCAGTCACAACATGTAAAAACAAATAAACAAGATAACTATTTAACCTTTCTAGTATTTCCAAACAAAGAAGCCAAATTTAATCCTCAAAATCTAAATGCATTGTCAGTCTCTATCTACTCTCATCCTGATTACTCCTCTTTTCCATAGCCATTTTTCGTGTTTTATTTCTTCTGCATTTACTAACCTCTTGTGTCTTAGTGACTCTATTCTCTTGCACTGTGTGAAATCGATTTAAAAAAAAGTCTTTTTTCTCTTCTTTTTTCTTACGAGGTATGGAAGTCTATGTATATGAGAAAAAAAAAAAAAAAGTTATATTACAAATACCTTTCCAAAGAGGATGAATAGATCTTGAGTTGCATAAAAACACCAATACAAAATCTTTGTAAATGTAACTAATAAAAACTGGTAAGCTGAAGTTCACATGGTGTATGTATCATGGAAGCGTAAGTTTATCTTGAAAATGTTACTAATATTGTTTGACTAATGTTAGTATAAAAACTGATTTCCAAAATAGAAATCTGACTTTATGTAGTCGACATATTTTTTGTCTTCAGATGTCCCTAATCCTGTTCTGCCATCAAATTACACAAGATCGTTAGTTTGAAGATGTGCTGTTCTCAATCACGTTTGCCTTCAGTAATTCATGTGCATATCTAATTTACCAAGCTCTCTTTCCGGTCTATGTAACCTAGACATTTCAATTGTCTCTTTATAATGCGAATTATTAGTGTTATTTTTTCAATTTTTTGTAAATTTTCGTTGTTTCTCATACGTTCAATCCATATATTCTCAGTATCGATCTGTAGAATTATATATATTTTATATTGCTTCAAGTCTCTTCTTCAACTGTGAGAATATTATTCAGCATTCACTGTTAATATTACAAAGGCTGAGATTACGTAACATTTCCATACGGTGTGTATAAAGAACTATTTTGTTTCTTAAGAATTTGCTTAGCTTTTGAATGACATATTTCGCTATCCTAAAGCGCCTTTGGACTTCAGTGCCGCATTTTTCGTTCTCTGTTAAAAAAAACTTCCCAGACATTTAAATTCTTCTAATTGTTTGATATTCAAATCTCCAATTTTTAATTTGCATGTTGGCGTGTTGCTTTAGTAATTAAATTATAACAATACTGAAGAATAGACCGAATAAAGGGCGCCGTACTAACAAGAATAAGAGATTTAAAAAAACAAGTTACAGCAGAAGGATCTGTTTGGAAAAATGGAAGAATAATCTAGAAATTATACTGTGAGTAAAGCGCCTGTTTACGGATAGAAAATGAATTGATTCGCTACACAAAATAAGAAATCGCGTAAGACAAGGATTTGTCCTATCTTCAGATTTATTCAATCTCTCCAGAAATTCTATCCTAAGCGAGTTAGAAACCCTACCATGATTTATTATCGGTAGGGTCATCTTTACAATATAAAACCCTAAGATGACACTGCGATGATGGCTGACAGGGGATGATGAAACGAGTGTTAGGGTTAAGGTTAGCAAAATATAAAATATGCTTAGCGCCACAAGATGTTTTGGGGAAAAAAAAGATCGCCAAAGTCCTGAATGGACGTGGCACAGAGAATAATTATAATAATGAATAAAACTCCGATAAAACGTGTATTGTTAAAAAAACAATGATTATAAGATGGAGTAAAACTAATACTTCTACTACTATTTATGGGAATGTGGTCGAGTGGTTAGAGCGTTCGCATTCTATCAGTGAGACCCGTGTTCGAATCTTACCACGGTCGTTTCGTCAGGGAGGAGATTTGTGGGGTAGCTAAAGGTGTTGGTTAGAAAAGGATCAGAAGGGTTTTTGATCAAGGTTGCGTTTTTACATTAACATTCCACATTTAATTTGTAAAGAAAACACAAAAAAGGAATGACGAGAGATCAATGAAAATCAACAAGTAAAACATGTATTGAAACAAGTATATATATATATAATTCTGTTAATGACAATAAAAATTAAGTCACACAAAGTGATTTCCCTTGTATTGTGTGAAGAACAAATGTGTGTTGTAATAATGTTTTTTGTTTAAATTTGTTGGTAGTTTAAGAATGTCTGATGTTTGAGTTTGAACGTTGAAATATTTGTGCAGAAGAATGATATAGTTTCGAATAGATCACTTGGCTTGAAAACAGACAGTTAGTTCACTGTGTGGTTTGGGTGTAGTTTGTCTGTGCGTGTGTGAGTAGAAAATTGAAAATACACGTACATGGTTAAGATTGTGAAATTTTATAATCTACTAAAGTTATTTCTTTAATTTCTGCTTTTTATAGATGTAAGGTGGCTCCAGCGCGGGAAGGATAGTGAAGAAAGTGTCAATTAATGTGATTGGCCAAAAATCGACCAACCGTCGATTTTTTTCTATAGCTAGTTTGGTGAATCAGAAACACGAGAAATTTTTATGTGTCTAGTGCGATGCGTAAATTGTCTGTACAGAAAGTATTGTTTATTTTCCGTCCAATCACTGTTGAGTAATTTGTGGGCGTGGTGTACGTAGGCGTCCACTACATCTTCCTGATATTATCGGACTGCAGAGGTTGATCCCAGCATGCGGCACCTTTGGAAAATATCTGAAAGCCATGCCACGGGTTGACTCAAGATTTGAGAGTGAAAATTCGGCAGACAGAACTCTTTGGGGGGGGGGTCGTGGATAGCTGTGCTAGCACGAAATCCCTCTCATCGTGACCGAGGGTTTGAGCGTCCTGGACTTTTTCAAATTGTTGATCACGCTAGATAACATGCCCTTTCCCAGAAACTGTAAATAAGCATAGTTGCAATATAAACCACGGTGAACTCTGTGGGTGTTGAATAGACACAAATGCACCCGAGAAAGCGTCTGCAATAGGGATTGGCTAGTCACCCTTGTAGATGGGTATCCTCAAATACAAGTGGACAGCTATGCTACTAATACTACTGACAACAACAATGATAATAATAATCTTAGTAGTAATAACGAAGACTGCATCGTCCCAGCGTCTGTATAGCCATCTAATGTATTTCCTTATTAATTGTCTTAATTTTAAGAAAAAAAAAGTGCACTCTTTTGAAATAGTTTTCGATTAAAAAAATATATATACGAAATATGGACCCAGAATATAATGGTACCTAATATTTGTTCCTTTTCCTAAGCGCAGACATTCTAAAAGGAAAATAGAAAAGCTTCAAATCTGAATAGAACTTTTATTGAATGATGTTCGAACCTGATGGGAACAGAGAATAGTATGAATCAGTCTTACGTAGTCGTCTGCCTTTTCAAGGAATTACTCAAGCCTGCAGTAAACGAAATCGCATCAAACTGAATTCCATTGTAAGCCGTTGACAGGTTCCCATTCTGCCACGCATTGATTACAAACACATCAGTTAATTTAATAATGTTGGGTAGCACACCCAGAACGTCCCGGGTGGCCACGGTACTTTGTTAATATTTGGTCAGGTGCCAACTGTTGCTCGAGTTCTTTTACGACTCGGCGTCTCATAGACGGTCATTCAGTGAATACTTTTCGCCTGGTCAAACTACTTCCTCGATATATACACAGACCCGCCAACAACATGTTAACAACAATAAGCGCCTCTTTATTCACTCGTATAGACCGAACGGCAACTTCAGGAAGTTTTAACGAAGGGAATATAGATGTAATATTCATCTTTAAAGAAAAATGAATGTTTACATACATGACAAAAGCTGCTGGAAACTTTGCTTTGAATTCAAGGAAATAAAAGCCTGACATTGTTTCGAAATCTTTCGAATGATTCACTACCATTCAAAAAAACGTTCAGATGATGCATCATTTTTCGGCCGATACATTCAGCGGCTTTCTTAAGGTGGACAATCCTTTAAAAAAAATAGGTTCGCTTTCCTACAAAAAAGGTGACAGTAAGAAAGGAACAGTAAATCATAAAGTGGACTAAAAAGGCTCTCTAAAATATAAAGCAGAATCTATAGATTTCTTAGTCCAACAGCCTCCAGCTTAGAAATGAGATATTCCGTTGTTATGGTAACCGGAAGCTTTATCCGACGCCAACGAGCAAACATGTTAGTATAAGAGGCAATGATGATTATAATAGAAGTCACAGACGTTATGCCTCATTTTATAATTTGGTTGTTAATATTCATGAATTCATAGGGTTCATTTTGTCTCTTTTCGTCTTTGGGCTAGACCGCTTGTACGGAGCTACACTTTGCTTTTTTCCCCAAACAATCTTGCAGCGATTGAGGGCGGTACGGAAGGTAATAAGTGTCAAACAATTTAAAAAGAAGGATTCTATCATATATACAACAATGAACTGTTAATTGTAGCGAGAGAATTCCTAGGTTACTCCAAAAAAAGCAATGAACAAAAGTAAAAAGCGAATAAAAATTAAAAAACAAAAATAAAATCAGTAATTTATTCCAAGCTTTTTAATTAAAGAATACAAGAAGGGATTATTATAATTATGGTATGCTAAAACTATCCACTTATTTATGAATTTAAGCGTAGTACTCGACTGTTGATGGGGTTTAATCAATTTACAGCTGAATTGTAACCGTAAGTTCTATGCTAACAGTTTCTTCTCTTGTACATCTCGCTTGTGAAACTATCTTCCCGGCTGCATGATTTCAAGTCAATTTTAATGGTCAAAAATATAAATGCAATGTTAATCGATATCTACTGTCTTGTATTGTCCTTGATAATTATTAACTTGTTTTAGTTTCTTTTCACCCAATAACCACATCTATCTATCTATCATTCATCTATCTATCTATATCCATCTATTGTATTCTTGTTCAATCTATCTATCTAGCTGCATCATTTCTAAGTCAATTTAATTCAAAAATGTAAATTCATTATTCATTCTATTCATCTATTGCATTCTGTTCATTATCTATCTATCTATCTATCTATCTATCTATCTATCTATTAATTGTATTCTGATATCTACTATCTATCTTCTATCTATTGTCCTTATTATCTATCTATCTATCTATCTAATTATCTATCCTATTA